GGCACACGGCCTGGCTGACCAACACTTCCAGTCTTATGAAGAAGTAGGAAAATGGATAGATTCGTAGATTACCTCAAAAGATGACCAGTTTTTTCGACACGGGATTCGTGCATTGTCCAAAAGATGGGAGAAAGTAGTGGCCAGTGATGGACAATACTTTGAGTCATAACTTTATCTCCATTTTTTTACAATAAAGCCTCAAATTAAAAAAAAACGGCGAGAGCAAAGTTGTACACCTAATAAGTGAAGAAATAGAAGTTATAAAACAATCGAAAACGAAAGAAAGAAATAACAATAATGACGATGCAACAATAACAACAATACAATTATTCGATCTGAGGGAAGAAATAAACAAAGTACTTAAGGAAATAAAAGTGATTGAATAAGTAAAACGAGAAAAGAAGAACAGTGTAGAATAATAGTGAAAAAATAGATTAAAAAAAAATACATCTTGACAAATGTGTATGTAAAAAAATAAAACAGTGGATAAGAGAAAAATAAATTATGAAAAACAACAACTCGTTAAAGAATTACACGCACCGGCGCGAGGAAATTTTCAACGACGTCACGTTGTGGTTTGTGATTACGACGATCTCTGGCAAGCGGATGTAGTTGAAATGCGTTCGTATGCGCGACAAAGGATATAATTATATATTGACTGTAATCGATGTATTAAGTAAATACGCGTGGGCATTACCTTTGAAAAATAAAAACGGAAGTGAAATGGTTACGGCATTATCTTCGATATTACGAAATAGACATCCGAAAAATTTACAAACGGACGAAGGAAAGGAATTTCACAACAGTGCTGTGCAAACAATGTTAAAAATATATAATATAAATCATTATTCTACGCATTCGGTGATGAAAGCATCGGTAGAAAGATTCATTGGTGGAAAGATTCAATCGCACATTGAAAAACAACATGTGGAAAGCCTTTACACTTAACGATTCATATAAATGGATCGAAATATTATCGCATTTATTATCGGATTACAATCATCGCGTACATCGAACAATTAATACACAACCGATAGATGTAACACCCGTAATTGCTAAAAAAACTCTTATCCACAGTATACAATTGTATAAAAATTGCCCCACCAGCGAAATTTCGACTCAACGATCCGATGCGTGTGAGCAAATTCAAAACGATGTTCAAAAAAGGATACACACCTAATTGGTCCACCGAAATCTTTCGCATCGCTAAGATACAACGGACCAATCCTGTAACGTATCTTCTGAAAGATTATTGCGGTGACGCGATAACAGGTGGTTTTTACGGACACGAATTACAACGAGTCGCCGATCCAAATGTTTATTTAATAGAAAAGATTTTACGCAAACGTGGAGACAAAATATATATGAAATGGTTAGGAATGGACAGTTCGCACAATTCTTGGATACCAAACATTCCTACTCTATAATTTATCTCACACACACACATCGTATAGCATGTGCTAAAAATAACCACAAGACCGTCGCCCGATTCATCGTCAGTGATGAAATTTATCATCACCGTTATCTCGTGCTAAAAATAACCTCAAGGCCGTCGTCCGAATCACCGTCAATGGGTCAAATTTATCATCACCGTAATCTCATCGTAGTTTTATCTTTTCCTGACTCCGGATGCATCCGTTCGCATTCGCGGTCGGTATGTGGTGCATCGTTACAATCGTGGGAGAATTCAACGATGCGAAAGTGGCGCTCAAATATTTACGGAAATATGGCTATCTTAAAACCGACACGTTGTCAATGTCATCGAGAAATATGGAACAAGTCTTACGTCACGCTCTCGGATTATTTCAAGAATATTATCAAATACCCGGACAGGGTGAACTGAAAAAAATCACATTGGACAAAATGCGCGAACCGCGATGCGGCCTCTTAGACCTTTCGGGTCAAACGGATCGAAGCAGAAACAATATCCGGCCGAAGAAACATCTCACGTGAAATTTTCATCTCGCCGACAAGGAAACTATGAAAGTGACGCAGGCCGCGTTCGATCTGTGGGCGGCAAATTCATCGTTATCTTTTAAACGCGTATCTCTGAATCCCGACATACTGTTATCGTATCGCGAGGGCCTTCACAGATATCGACAAGAAAATTACAGATATGTGTCCGAATCCTTTAGACGGCCCCGGTGGTGTACTCGCTCACACTTCCTTTCCCAACGGAGATGATGATTACGTCACGGAAGTGAACGTAGATAGAGCGGAATCGTGGCATGTTCATATTAGTAAAAATTCTCTACGCACGCACAGCCTGTTATACGTGATCGCGCATGAAATCGGCCACACATTAGGTTTGCATCACAGCGAACACTAGGATTCGATTATGTTTGCGATGACGCCCGGTGAAATAAAGTTTCCCGTTAGATTGAGCTTAGATGATATTCTTCATATTCGATATCTATATGGTGCTAATTATCATGGTTCTACAACTACAACCGCCCACCACTACAGCTGTTGTAACAACAACAACAAAATATATCAATAACGATTCGTGTGCCCTACGAGATTTTGATGTAATATTAATCATAAACAATCGACTGTATATTGCATATAAAAAGTACATATGGTCGATTAATATCAACGAAAATACCTATAAAAACCGATCGTAATATCAGATTACATGCAATTTCTTCCTGACAATTTCACACACTTAACGGCTGCATATCAGAAACCCACGGGCAACCTTATGATATTTGCAGATAATTTCATATACGTAGTGTCATATCCTAGTTACAAATTGATTCGGAAACTTTCATTCAACGATTTCGGTCTTCCACCTACAGCCAGAATCAATACCGCAATAAACACTAACAAAGGACGGAGATTCATTGTGTACAACGATCACATAGTCGGGGAAATAGACGATTGTTCAACACGAATCATGAATCATCGTTCAATCGACGAGATATTTCCAGGAATACCAACCGGAATGACGACCGCATTTCGATATACCGACGGAAATTTATACTTCGTTAAAAATCATTTCTATTACAAATTTAACGATTTTGTCAAACTCATCACGGCTACCGGTAAGTTCGACCTGCAGATCGTAGGTGTCGCTTGCCCGCGAGACAATTTGATAAAACAATTATGAAACCTGCTCGCTCGATTGATCCAAATCGAATCCTTCGCAACGAGAGGAGAAGAAGAACAGGAGAGGGGGAAACAATAATGTAAGAAAGAGAGAGAGAGAGAGAGAGAGAGAGAGAGAGAGAGAGAGAAGAATACAACGAACGATTACGATTCTCCAATAACTCCGCGTAATTTTTTTCTCCCCTTCATTTGCGTTTTAACCGCAAAAGGGAGAGAAAGATCGCGCATCGTAATGTACGCGTTAATCAACAACGAACGT